GGCCTCCCGCTGCTGCCACGCCACTGCTGCGCGATTTCTGCTCTCATCCTGAAGCAAAGTTCTTAACCTGAGGTACTATTTCCTGGTTAGCGGAGTCTGTAACCTGAAGCGTATGTAACCTGAGGTACCAATGTATAGCACAGAAGTTCTAGTCTAGCAAGATCTTGAGGGCCACTTCCAATGGCTTCATATAGATATTAGATAGCATTGGGGATAAAACAGGGCCCACAGCATAACACTGAGAGGGCTGAACATAATTTTCCTGGTGCTTCAGTTGGAACTGCAACAACTGTGGAGTCCAAGTCTCTCAGAAGCTGAGCAACTTTATACTCAAAATGTGCAGCCAATTGGCCAAGGTCAGCCCTCAAGAGCTCCAGGGATCCTTCCCCTTCTGAACTATCCAAAATATACCTCCCAATCAGGTATCAAGCGGTAATATGCTCTCTTTGCCACTCACATTGCCGCATGTGCACTCATCGGTGTTTGGTTAGCCTGAGAACGAGAATCCACCCTGTTCCACCCCCATTTCCAAGCTTCCTCCCCAACGGTCACTCACCATTCTGTGCCCAATCCTCACTGAGACATTTTGTGGCCCCTCTTTGCCATAAACCTTTAAAATGCTCAGGACATAGCGAATGAAACCTCTAAGAGAAACCCAATATTTTATTACGGCAACAAAGTCTTCAAGAATGGCACCAATGTTCTGGAAGTATAAAAGCCCAAAGATATACATCTTTCAGGGTGAATGTCTCAAAGCAGTCTTATTGATGAAGTTGAGCAAGCCAGTCCTGGTCCCCTCAAAGTGACTCTGGCAGCTGGATGGAAAGGACACTCAACCACTCTGGCAGGGAATGCCAGGACGCCCAGGCTCCTCTGGTATGAGTTGCTAAGGCAAGAGGCTCCGCTTGGCTATCCTTCCTTCCTTATCAATGGCAAAATTGTAGTTGCGGGGGTTGTCTAGGCACTCCTCAATCCGCTCATCTATATTTTCAGGGGTGATGAAGTTCTTGGCTTCTTCCTGCATCAGCAAAAGATGAAAATAAGGCATTTTACAAACACAGTATTTCTCTCCCTGAACAACATTCCAAACGCACAGGGTTGTCCGCTTCAAGTCTTTCGTCATTGCATCAGCAGCCGAAGTGTTGGAGAAAAGGCAGCAGTGGCCTTCAGTAAAACCCCCCAGTGCTGTACCTGGACTCCTACCACTGTTAACCCAGCCACACCCTCCTCTGGTAACCTAAAACAATAGCCAAAGGACCCTGGTTGGAGCCCTGGCTGTTCTCTTATGAACTTTCTCTTTTATTTTGTGTCCCCCAAACATCACCAAAACTAGGTAGCATTTTGACATTTAACCAGACCGCAGTAGCAAAAAGATTGCTCCAAGGAAGAAGCGTCAAAGTGAAGGCAGCTGTTTGCAGCATGCTGGCTTCCCTACCTGCAACTGGAGCACCTCTTTCTCCTTCTCCTTGAGAATTTCTTCCATATAGGTAGCCCGATTCTGGGCTCCTTGCCGTCGGCGTTCTTGATCAGCTGCTTCTTCCTTTCGGAGGCGCTCCTCCCTGGGGTTAGGGACACAGAAGGAACTTAGCACTTGCTGCTCTCCACACAGCAGAAAGAGCCAAAGGCCAAGTGGCTATTAGCACACACACAAAAAAGCAAGAAGAGTAACGAAATCAACAGCAGATTTAAAAATCGAGAGACGTGCCATGCTCACCTCCGTTCCCGTAGACGTCTGTTCTCTGCGTCATTCCAGGCCATCAGCTCTTGATGCTCCTTGTTAGCAGCCTCCTCTCTCTTCTTCCACACTTCCCCATACTTCTCTGCATAATGTTTCCGCAGCACCTCTTCTTTAAACTCGCCTCTGGTAGAAAGCATAGGAAGGAATGTTAAAAAAGCAGCTGCTCCTTTGTTACTGATATCGTCCCTGCAGAGGCAAGAGTCACAAGGGGCCCATGTGTCATATGCAGGGTTGTGATCCTCCAGATGGCACTGAACTACAACTCCCATCGCAGGTCCCCCAACCCTGATGAATGCCTATCAATCATTCAGAACTTATGTTTGTGCAGTTGTGTTTTTATCTTGTATTTTTATGCTGTGAACTGCCTGAACTCTTCAGATGAAGGGCGGTATACATTTAATATATAAATAATGGAATCCCCTACCATGCAGGAATCTCAACTAAATCAATGTGACTGGTGGTCATCCAACCTCTGTCCAGTAGCACCTTAGAGACCAGCTAAGTTTGTACTGGGTACAAGCTTTCGTTCGCATGCACACTTCTTCAGGACACCATGGACTTCCATTTCATGCGGCTCAATGTGCTGCCTTCCATGATTCTAGATTCATGGAGATTCTAGATTCTTCCATGATTCTAGATTCATGAAGAAGTGTTCATGCACACAAAAGCTTATATCCAGAACAAACTTTTGTTGTTGTTGCTGTTGAAAGTGTGAAAGAGGGGGCAAGAGGGGAAGGAAAGACACTGTGTGCAGTTATCAGACTTCCCCAACTGTTGCCTTTAATTCCAACCTGGTAAGGCTGGATCAATGTATGTTGTTGTTTCGTCATGTCCGACTCTTTGTGACCTCCTGGACCAGAGCACGCCAGGCACTCCTGTCTTCCACTGCCTCCCGCAGTTTGGTCAGACTCATGTTTGTAGCTTCGAGAACACTGTCCCACCACCTCGTCCTCTGTCGTCCCCTTCTCCTTGTGTGATCTTTCTCAACATCAGGGTCTTTTCCAGGGAGTCTTCTCTTCTCACAAGGTGGCCAAAGTACTGGAGCCTCAGCTTCAGGATCTGTCCTTCCAGTGAGCACTCAGGGCCGATTTCCTTCAGAATGGAGAGGTTTGATCTTCTTGCAGTCCATGGGACTCTCAAGAGTCTCCTCCAGAACCAGAATTCAAAAGCATCAATTCTTCGGCGATCAGCCTTCTTTATGGTCCAGCTCTCACTTCCATACATCACTACTGGGAAAACCATGGCTTTAAATACACGGACCTTTGTCGGCAAGGTGATGTCTCTGCTTTTTAAGATGCTGTCTAGGTTTGTCATTGCTTTTCTCCCAAGAACTTAGTTGGTCTGGACTAATTTTTAGTTGCTACTGGACTAATTTTTAATTTTTTTAATTTTTAAAATTTATGTCGACTGCGTCAGCCCAACACGGCTACCTACCTACATGAATCTAAATAAATTGGCGTAGCAGAGAAAGGGAGAAGAACCAGAACCCTTCCCGCCACTCGCACCCCCCAGACTCCCCCCCCTCGAGGTCCCCGCCTCCACGGGCCCGCCGGCTGCCCTGATTGGCCGGCCGGGCTGAGTGACAGGCTTCCCCAGCGCCTCACCTGAGGGCGGTCATGACCCGCCTATAGCGCTCGTAGCGGCCCAGCACCACCAGCAGCTCGGCCGGGTCGACGGGCGGCGGCACCTTGACCCTGCCGGCTTTGGATTTGGCCGGGGGGTCGTGGCGCGTCTTGCGGCCCCGCGAAGGCGCGGCCAGGAGCGGCGCCAGGCTCCGGCCCAGAAGGCCGCCCCGGCCGGAGAAGGGGACCAGCCCGCGAAGCATCCCGGCAGTTAGAGAGGAAGCAAAATTCTGAGGGAAAAGTCGGCACGCCGGAAGCTGGGCTGGGGCAGTATGGGAAATGTAGTTTCCTCGCGGTCTTTTGCCTCACGAGCGGCTGAGCACCGAAAGTGGGGCTGAGGCACGATGGGAAATGGAGTCTTCCTCCTCAACTCGATTCCTTGTGGCCTACACACCGGAAGTAGACCCGGGCTACGGATGGTTTTCTCGCTTTCGCTACTCCCGTCTCCTGCTACGAGGCCCCGTATTTGCTGGGTCCGTGAGGCGGGTGAGACCCGAGCGCGGCCTACCTCAGAAATAAAAGCAGGCGGAAAGAAGGAAGGCAGGGTGTGCAGGGCACCGGAAATAGGGCGTGAGCATGACGGGAAACGTAGTCCTCCCTCTCGCTGTCAATCAAGGAAATGAGCGGGAAAGACGGCGCCTCATCTGCTGGAGGGCGGGCAGGGCACCGGAAGTAGGGTGTGGGCGTGATGGGAAATGTAGTTCCTCTTCCCTGTCACTCAAGTTAAGCGTTTAGCCTGCCTTGCAAGGTTGTTGTGGGGGATTAAATGAGTGGGGAGAGGCATGTAGCCCACCTTGAGCTCCTTGGAGGAGAAAAGGTGGGATGCAGCAAATAATAAAATAAAATGAGTGGGGGAAACCACGCCTCAGCTCCTGGTCCCCCTCACGGGTATTATTATTGCTAAATTATTAGCATTATTCTCACCTGCCTGCCCTACCAAAGGAGCCCAGGGTGGCAAACAGCGAAACAGTACAATTAAAAATAATAATAACAAAATTAAACAGTGATATATCCTCACAGCTAATAATTCCAAGGATGCCAGGAACAGAATTTTACAAAGTGCCTGCTTTAAAAATTTCTCCTGAATGTTAAGAATGATGGAAAGCATTGCACAAGTGGGGAGCCACTACCAAGAAGGCCCCGTCAAAGGGTTATTGTTATTACCTCAGAGAGCCTCCACGCTTTCCTTTACGAATTGTTTCTTCCATGCACTCCAACATTTCAGAGGGAAATGGGGACTTTGTTGTGTACTTGCGTTCTTACACTGCCTGTTACCTCGCCTCCCTCCAAATACCCTTCTCTAGCTGCTGATCGTTGCCTATTCTACCCTGCACTATGTGGGCTCTTCAAACAGGCCCTTTCTATTCCACCAAGTCTTGGGAGGTTGAGATTGGTTGGAATTGTGACTAGTTCTTGCTGCGATTTGTAGCATTTTTTGAGAATTTGCAATAATACATTTCACTGTTTTAATGTGTGCTTTAAAAATATTTTTATGGTAGTCTTGGCAGCCTTTTTTTTGCCAACAGGCAAACAATGACTCAAGTAAATGAATGAATGAATAAACAAATGTATCCCCCTTCCATTCCATATTGTTAAGCAGACGAACAGTGACATAAGCAATAGACATGCTAATAGAACTTTATTGAAAAGCCAGGAGAACACAAATCATAGACTTCTGTTGCTGATATGCAACTTTTAATTTGCACAAGTTTGTCGGCCGTTGGCATCCAGCATGCGTACTTGACGAGTCACACTGGTGTTGCCTGCAAGTTCATAATCAAAAAGTGGATTCATGTGATCCTTGTTCCTTGTTGTCTTCTCATTCTTGGTCACAGGCAGAGTCTACCGTGCAGCCCTCTGAAATGACAAGGAAATTCGTCAAAAGAAACCAACATGGGCCACGTCTTTTGTGGCCGTTTCTGATCTTCATAGGAACAGATCTGCCCATGGCAGTTTGCATACTGAGGCAGCCCAACAACAGAGACTACCTGGACAGCTGTCTGTACAGTGGTACCTCTGGTTAAGAACTTCATTCATTCTGGAGGTCCGTTCTTAACCTGAAACTGTTCTTAACCTGAAGCACCACTTTAGCTAATGGGGCCTCCCGCTGCTGCCGCGCCACCGGAGCACGATTTCTGTTCTCATCCTGAAGCAAAGTTCTTAACCTGAGGTAATATTTCTGCATTAGTGGAGTCTGTAACCTGAAGCGTATGTAACCCGAGGTACCACTGTAGTGCCAAAATTCGAGGAGCACCTGCCAACATCTTGAGAGGGGAGAAGTGTTGCCTGCATGATTGGAGGAGACACACAGAGGCAGCTTAGCAAATTGCTTTCTGGTAATATATCTCTGGAATTCCAGGGGGAATCTTTTAAAGGCAAGGGCTGCATTTTCTTGTAGTCAGCTTCCAGGGGCAACAAGCAAAAGTGGGTGGGGCGGTGCATGTAGATTTTACCTTTGGCTAGTTTTACAGTTGGCTAGTTTCTCACATAAAAAGGTAAAGGGACCCCTGACCATTAGGTCCAGTCGTGGCCGACTCTGGGGTTGTGGCGCTCATCTCGCTTTACTGGCCGAGGGAGCCGGCGAGGATTCGAACCGCAGACCTTCTGATTGGCAAGACCTAGGCTCTGTGGTTTAACCCACAGCGCCACCCGCGCCCCTAGTTTCTTACATACCCTCCTCTCTATTCTCCATCCACACAAGCAAGAGGCATCATTGAGGAATATTCCTGTCGTGCAAAAACATTCAAGAAGGGTGCAAAGCGGGATTGGGGAGCAGGTGTGGGCTGGGGAGAGGCCCAAGGTCCAGAGAGGCTTAGAGGGCTGCATTTGCACACACACACACCCCGCTTCAAGAGAGTTCTGGTCCCTTTCAGCTGCCCAAGCCTTAGTCCCCGACAGTTGTCAAGAGGGAAATGGAAAACGTAAAAATGAGAAAACAGTATTCTAGCCAACTCTTGGGCATTTCAAGCACTCTTTCATGTTCCTCGGCATCACATAAGATGCAGGGGGAGTGGCATATTGCAGGGAAATGTTGATTTGCTTAGGCTGGCATCAACTAGTTGCTAAGGTAAGGTTACCAGACATCCCTGTTTCCCAGGGACAGTCCCCAGATTTACAAATCAGTCCCCTGACAAAATCCGATCTGAAGCTGAAAAGTGTCCCCGGCTTCATTGAAAAAAATCTGGTAACCTTGTGCTAAGAAGTAATTACATTGCAAGGACTAGATGACCCTTGGGTTCCCTTCAACTCTGCAGTTCTATGGTTCTAAGAAAAGCCACTTTTCATTCAAAAATATCATTGCACTGCAAGAAAGCTGCATGTATTCCTGTTTCACGGTAGCAATTTGTGAATGTTTAAAATGCATATAAATGGGGTCTCAGAACCATTCCTGGGGTTCCCATCCCCATCACCCGCATGTTGACTTCAACCTCTGCACAAGAACATAGGTCCTACCCACATCTAAACTGGCTTTATGTAGCCAAGCAGAGATGTGATGTGGCGCTATGCTTTCCATGTTCACCCTCGACCCTTTAACAGCAGGCTTGACAGCAGCTGTAGCAGCAGCAATTTTCTATGCCCACAGGAATTTCCAACTATCAGAAACCAAACCGCGCTCACTTGAAAAAGCAAAAAGGGCGATATGCGCACTGTGGAAAGCACAAGTGCTGGAAATCACATGGCGCTGCACAGATACGGACAGCATTGCAATGAATGTTATAGGTGAAAAGGGCGGGTTTCAGCCAAAAGAGAAGAATAAACCTTTCATGTATGCTGCAACCGTGGCAAGGATATTGTTAGCCCCAAAATGGGAAAGCGACAAAATTCCAACAAAGAAGAATGGCAAGGAAAGCTGATGGAATATGCTGAAATGGCAAAACTGACAGGAAGACTTGGAGAAAAAGACAATACTGTAGAGACTTTAAAAAAGAATGGGAACCATTCATGTTGTATATACAGAAACAATGGAAAGAGATGGACTCACTAGCAGGGTTTGAGTGAACACTTACAATCAGCTAAAACAAATATAGAAACTACAAAGAGGTTGTTAAATAAGATAAGAGTACAACAACAAGTAATATAGAGAACTTAGTATTAAGATAAAACAAAGTAAGGTGCAGGAGAAGTTATTATGCAAAAAACCAGAAAAGGAAGTTGAGGGAAGTCATAGGGGGGAAAGAGGTCTCTGTATTTTTGTTATGTGTTATTTTATAAAAATATAAAATCCAATAAAAATTATTTTAAAAAGAAAAGAAAAAGGGCAGGTTTCTGATGGAGAGATGTCCTCACCATTGTTGCAGCAGATGCCTGATGCGGCGCAGGTCCCTCCGCTGTTGCCGCACGGCTTCCTTCCAGACTCGCAAGGCGTTGGGAGGAAGTTTTCTTCCTGGCATCTCATGGTTTCCGCTGTGCCCAAGTAGCAGCCTAGTTCTTCCCCGCAACAGATGTTGGGACCAAAGCAATGCCCTCTGTTCCTTGGCCCGCAGGAGATGCACTGGTGTGGGGCACAAAACGGGGGAAATGTAGCTTCATCCAAGTCTGGTTTACATAATCCGATGTCTGGCGATGTTTACAGTTGAAGTGGTTTGGATGGCATGCAAAGCATGTATTTAAAGCACACACACACACACACACACACACACACACACACACACACCAACAGACAGAATTCTTTCCCGGTCTGATATGGAGAGCCCAGGGATTGAACCTGCAGTCTTCTGCATGCGGATGCTCTTAACGCTGAGCCAAAGCCCTCTCCCACCTTGCCGTAAACCCGCCATGTCCTACCTTTCTGACTTCCATGTCCAGAAGGGAGCGCTTCCCTCCAATGGGGCAATTCTGGATGTAGCAAGCCGAAGAGAGAGCCAGGAGCCAAACCAAGCAGAAGGCTAGCATATTGTAAGACATGGTCGTCCTGGTTGCCACCAGCTGCTTCTCTTGAGGAGAAGGAATGGAGAAGGTCTTTCTGGTTTTTGCCCTCACGGCCGTAGGTATATATATACTGGTGGACAGGCCTGTTGAGCCGTGCTATAGCCCTTGTTACTCATTTCCCTTAAAAAGCACAAGGCATTGCTCTTCACGCCAAGTGTCACGTCTAATAAGACAAGGTCGCAGATGTGAGGCCACTGAAATATGGGCAATTTTCTCTCCCGTTTCGTTCCAAACTGGGTGGAAGATGCATCAAAGGCCAAGAATTCTCCCTAATTGAAGAAGTCTTTGATGTCACCCGAGGTTGGGGAGGAGAATATGAATACTTTTCGTTGGGCTTTCGGGAGATCTGACATACTTTCCCCCTGGATTTTGGGGAGATCAGATCTGTGTGAGACTCTGGCCCGGACCATAGCCCTCTCGGAAAAAATCTCCTGCCATTTTAGGAGGACATCTGCTTGTGGAAAGCACAAACACCACCCATTATTATGAAATCTATTTATTTAATACAGTAATAGTAAAGGTAAAGGGACCCCTGACCATTAGGTCCAGTCGTGGCCGACTCTGGGGTTGCGGCGCTCATCTCGCTTTACTGGCCAAGGGAGCCGGTGTACAGCTTCCGGGTCATGTGGCCAGCATGACTAAGCTGCTTCTGGCGAACCAGAGCAGTGAATGGAAACGCCGTTTACCTTACCTATTTATCTACTTGCAGTTTGTGCTTTCGAACTGCTAGGTTGGCAGGAGCAGGGACCGAGCAATGGGAGCTCGCTCCGTCGCAGGGATTCGATCTGATCGGCAAGCCCAAGAGGCTCTGTGGTTTAACCCACAGCGCCACCCGCGTCCCAGTACAGTAATAGTACCGTATTTTTCGCCCCATAGGGCGCACCGGCCCATAGGACACCTAGTTTTTTTGGGGGGGGAAATAAAGGGGGAAAAATTATTTCCCCCCCAGGCGCGGGGCTGGGGTGGGGGATGCCCAAGCTTCCCCCGACCCCAGCCCCCAGAACAGGCTGCTATCCGCAAGCCTAGGGAGCCCGGCAGGAAATCGCACCGGTCTCCCCAGGCTTGCGGATATCTGTCCTCCGAGCTTGTGAGGCTGACAGCCTCCAAACCAGGTCGGGGAACAGCGGGATGGCGGCGCTCCGACTCCCCGCTGTCCTCCGAGCTTGTGTGGCTGCCCGATATCTGCCCGAAGCCCGGGGCGCGCTCTGGAGCGTGCCCCGTGCTTCGGGCTGCAGGCTGCCGCCTGCAAGCCTTGGGAGCTCGGCGGGCTTTCCTGCCGGGCTCCCACAGCTTGCGGATAGCTTCCTGAAGCGTGGAGAGCGAGAGGGGTCGGTGCGCACCGACCCCTCTCACTCTCCAGGCTTCAGTGAAAGCCTGCATTCGCCCCATAGGGCGCACACACATTTCCCCTTCATTTTTGGAGGGGGAAAAGTGCGTCCTATATGGCGAAAAATACGGTATTTACCCATACATATCACCTGTTCATACAATATAAGATGTCAGTGTGCAGCAATATATACAGTAAAATATAAAACAGCATGAAAACAGTACAAAATGATATTTTAAATGGTAGAAATACATTTTTAAAAATTTAAATGGTGCCTAGGGCTGTCTCTTCTGGAAGAGGGTTCCACAGCTTGGGCCTGCCAACACTAAAAACTCAGCTTCTAGTGGAGACAATGAAAATGTTTAAGATTTCCCGTTGGAATAGCTCAGTGGCTAGAGCGTGAGGCTCTTAAACACAAGGTTGTGGGTTTGAGCCCCATGTTGGGCAAAAGGTTCTTGCATTGCAATGGCTTGGACTAGGATGAGTGAAATATACTCGGAGTCGAGAGTGGATTTCATGCTCTTTATTCAGCTCATAGTGGTGAGGAGGAATGGATGTTCCCCCAGAATGTCTGTTTTATATACATTATATACACAATGGGCCGCACGTGATTGGCTAATTCCGGGATTCTCCTGTAGGCCAATCAGGTTGTGGATTAACTTCCACCTGGAGCTGGATTGGGTGGCTCCTGTGGACCAATCAGACTGCTGCATTCTGAATCCTATTGTTCTAGGACCAATCAGACTGCTGCATTTTGGATCCTATTCAACTCAGTACATAACAATGAGCCTCATGGTCCCTTCTAAGTTTATGGTTGTGTCTGCCAAAGGAGCCTAGGACGGCAAACACCAAAGTGGTAAAGCCGTACTATTAAAAATAAAATAGTAACATACTTAGGGCGATTAAAAACATTTAAACCACTTGTGCTAATGCTCCTGAAACTTTCGTTTCAGGCCAGGCGTTCTCCAAAGAGGGCTTATAGTTATTTTGGATCTCTTTGCCGAAGTCAAGAAGTTGTTGCTATGCACAGAGTGTGTCTACTGAACCAGTAGATGGTGCACAAAGAGTGGCCTTAACTTCTTCTTAGGCTGCTGAAGTATAGAATCCGTTCCGGTTAGCGTTACCGTGCATGCAGTTTACTAGAAATGGGTTGGCATAAATGAAAAAATTGGGTAAGCCATTCCTCTCACCCCCTTGGATAAAAATAAGGAGCTAGTTCACTCCAAGTCAGATGAGTTCTTGTAGCTTGGTAGGGTCAACTCTCAGAATTAAGGGATTTCAAATCTAACTCTCTGCAGCCTCTCTACAACTTAAGATCTGTAAAATGGAATAGGCCCTGTTCCTGATATCTCCACATTGCAAGTTTGAAGAAGGATGTGCAACCATTGTACCCTTTGCCCCTTTCCTCTGCTAGGGACGGACAGATCTGTCAATTCCAATTTCTCTCAGTTTGCAATTTTATTTCTTATTGTTTTAAAGTTCTCAGCAAAACTTTTCAGCTTTTTAGGCTGATTTTCTCACAACAGAACACATTTTCGTATGCCGTTTTGCCGCATATACTGTACACAACCATAGGTTTTGTTAAGTTATGGGCGAACATATCAGACGACACAGTGATTCTTCAAACAGCTCTTGTTTATTCAGAAGCCAGAACAGAACTGAACTGGAGAGCTCAGTCAGCCTGCTTATATAGAGCTCCAGAACAACGTAACTGTTGCAACTTTCTAAAACTATCCAATCACTGAACGTCACTTTCGATCCTTCATTTGCATACAAACTATCCAATCACTGAACGTCACTTTCGATCCTTCATTTGCATAACTATCTACAGTACCCCCCTGCTGGCCCAGGGTGAGAACTTCAGTAACAGGTTTGTCTTTTCCCTAAGTGCATTTCTGTACGCTATTTTCACCAATATATGCACACCTAACCCTAGGATATCCATTTTTGCATGCATTACTTGGGCTACATTGCAAAATTTGGAAAAGTGCACATTTTGAAGGACGGTTCTCTTGTTTCAGAAAGTGTGAATTAGGTAGGTTCGCTGTTAAATGCAAAAACGACTCAGATTGGTCCCCAATGCCTACCAGTCCCTTAATCCTCCCCACACATCAGTGTGCTGGGGCCATCCTTTCAGGCCACAATAGATTGTAATGACTTGCTTTGAAGTCATATCAGCACCAGATGGAGAAAGAATAAATCACCTTCCCAACTTCCCTGCCCCACCCTGCCCTGTATTCGGCCAGTACAAAGGTACCCTAGATTAGCTGACCCTTGATGTCCCTTCCAACTGTACAATTCTGTGCTTCTATGGCTATTCCTGCCCCCCAGTCCGACACATCACTCTCTGTCTTCCACACAGGCAAGGAAGAAACATTCGATGACATATTCCAGCCAGGCAAAAACCTTCAAGGAGGATGCAAGCAAGGATGAGGAGTGTTGTACAGTGGTATCTTGGTTCTTCAAACGCCTTGGTACTCAAACAACTGCAAACCCGGAAGTAAGTGTTCTGGTTTGCAAACTTTTTTCAGAAGCTGAACGTGCTCCATTTTGAGTGCCACACTTCCGTTTTGAGTGTTACGCTGCAGTCTGTCTGTTTTTGCTATTTGTTTTGTGTTTTTGTTTTTGGATCTCTCTCTCTCTCTCTCTCTCTCTCTCTCTCTCTCTCTGTGTGTGTGTGTGTGTGTGACTGTGTGGAACCCAGTTCAGCTACTGATTGATGGATTGTATGACTGCAGTACATTGTTTATTGCTTTCATTTTATGGATCGATGGTCTCATTAGAGAGTAAAATTCATGTTAAATTGCTGTGTCCAGGGCAGCTGTCTACCAGCTCCATCTGGTACACAGGCAGAGACTGTATCTGCCCACGGACTGCCACGCCAGAGTGGTGCACGCTCCGGTTATCTCCCGCTTGGACTACTGCAATGTGCTCTCCGTGGGGCTACCTTTGAAGGTGACCTGGAAACTACAACTAATCCAGAATGCAGCAGCTAGACTGGTGACTCGGGGCGGCCGCCAAGACCACATGACACTGGTCCTGAGAGACCTACATTGGCTCCCACTATGTTTCTGAGCACAATTCAAAGAGTTGGTGCTGGCCTTCAAAGCTCTAAATGGCCTCAGCCCAGTATACCTGAAGGAGCATCTCCACCCCCATCATTTTGCCTGGACACTGAGGTCCAGCACCAAGGGCCTTCTGGTGGTTCCCTCACTGCGAGAAGCCAAGTTACAGGGAACCAGGCAGAGGGCCTTCTCGGTAGTGGCACCCACCCTGTGGAACGCCCTCCCACCAGATGTCAAAGAGAACAACAACTACAAGACTTTTAGAAGACATCTGAAGGCAGCCTTGTTTAGGGAAGCTTTTAACGTTTGATGTATTACGGTATTTTGATATTTTGTTGGAAGCTGCCCAGAGTGGCTGGGGAAACCCAGCCAGATGGGCGGGGTATAAATAATAAATTCTGTTCTATTCTATTCTGTTTTAGGGGTTGTTTTTAAAAGTGTCTGGAACGGATTAATCCATTTTGCATAACTTTCTATGGGAAAGCACACCTTGGTTTTGGAATGAACTTCCAAGGTACCACTATATCTGGCTTAGGGAGACTTTGAGGGACAGATAGAGGACTTAAGTGGTGCAATTGTCCCTTTCGCCTGAGGCTTCCCATCCTGGTGTAGCAAAAGGAGATCTGCCCAACTTTCCAAACCTAGTGGTCCACATGGGCTACCATGATTGCTGTTACACACATATTTACAAACAAGGTTTAGAGTGGCCTACTGGGAGAGGATTGGTTCTTCTTCTTCAAGGGTGCGATGACTGTGATGCTGAATATAAATGAGAAATATTGACTATTAATGAAACCGGGGCTAATAGCTGTTGCTGCCATACCTGTTCCCTTTTGCCTGACCTTCGTTAGAGTCAGTTAGCACTTTCATCAACTCTGCAGCTGCGGACAAGGACTTGAAAATCTTAACCGCATTGAACGCCTTCGCTCTGTAATGCACTTTTAGCTTTCCTAATTGACCAGCAGGCTCTTAACCGTTGTCCAGGAAGCAATCTTGCTACCTGCTCTCTTGTGCCTTAATATTTGACACTTAAACGGGGTGCAGGAGGTCAAATTCAGTGGTCAAAGAGGACCTCGCTCCTTGCTTCTGAATTCAAGAACGTTCAGGTCACCGACTTTAAATTGTGAGGACTATTAAAAGGCAACTCATTAGGGATGAGATTCAGAGGGTAATGTAGGATATTCTGTTATCTACTCCGCTGTTATGACATCATTAGACTGAGAGGGCAGGAAAGTTGCAAATCCAACTTACGGCGCCATTGATCGACTCATCTCCCCACTGGCAAGCCTTGCTTTGATAAGACTCTGATCAGACAGACTGCAAGGGAATAGATATATATCTGCAACTGGATGAAATGCAGAGCCACTCAGTGAAGAGGATTTGGGAGATTTGGGACAGGCAAAAGGAGGTCCTACTTCACACAGCACATAGTTAAACTTTGGAACTCCCTTCCACAGGAGACAATGATGGCCACAAACCTAGATGACTTTAAAAGGAGAGTTAGACCATTGCATGGAGGATGAGTGTCAGTGGCCACTACATTGTCCCTCCATTGTCAGAGACAGTAGGCCTCTGAATACCAGTCGCTAGGAATCAGAAGCATGGCGTAGGGAGCGCTGTGGCACTCCTGCCTTGCTTGCAGGCCCCTCTGAGAAGAGACATGGACCTTTGGCCTGATCCAGCGGTCAAGCTCTTCTTATTCTCATTGTGCACTGAAGCAGCACCAGCAGAGCAGGTGGCTCCAGAACGGAAGACTCAAGGAAGCAAGCCAAGCCGCGATCTCAACTCCATTAAGGTCGAGGGATGCCTGAACAAGCAGAAGATGCTAGTAAGTGTTGCTTGCTATGCCTATGGATCGATGCCTGCCAGTACAAGTCACCTCAGATGCAAGGAGATAGGAAGGTGTGAAGGGTTGAGCATGATGCTGTGCTCACATTTCCATTGGTTCTTCATCCAGTGTGCTCCTGATGACGATTTGGGAAGCGGCGTACACACAGCGTTGGCCACAATCCGTCTCTGTGCTGTGGTTTTATTACGAAATGCTGCATTTGCTCACCCCCACCCCAGACCAGCTTCGATCCGAATTGAGAAAATGAACAGCACGGCTTCATTTCAAGCTGGCAACATGTGTAGACAGCCTACAGCAGTCTGCATATGCACAGAAAGCACGTTCTGCGCCACCAAGCGGCAGCCCTGCCTGACCCCAAAAGCCTCTGAGTCAAGCACCTCCCGATGTCATCGTCACTTGCTGTTTGTTCCCTTCTTTGGAAGAAAGAAGACCAAATCAATTGGCTTGAAGGATCATATACAGGTATTGATAGGCTGGGGGCGAGGGCTCCTGTTGAAGCTAAAATCCCCATCTTCTTGCCCAGGGCTTCCTCTTTACATCCTCCCTTCCTCTTTCAAATATAGAAAAGAAGCACTTTCCAACTTGGGTGGCAATATCTGCGATGCTATGCTATGTTACAGCTATGGTTTTCCCAGTAGTGATGTATGGAAGTGAGAGCTGGACCATAAAAAAGGCTGATCGCCGAAGAATGGATGCTTTTGAATTATGGTGCTGGAGGAGACTCTTGAGAGTCCCATGGACTGCAAGAAGATCAAACCTCTCCATTCTCACTCCATTCCAGGAAATCGGCCCTGAGTGCTCACTGGAAGGACAGATCCTGAAGCTGAGGCTCCAAGACTTTGGCCACCTCATGAGAAGAGAAGACTCCCTGGAAAAGACCCTGATGTTGGGAAAGATGGAGGGCACAAGGAGAAGGGGACGACAGAGGACGAGATGGTTGGACAGTGTTCTCGAAGCTACCAGCATGAATTTGACCAAACTGCAGGAGGCAGTGGAAGACAGGAGTGCCTGGCGTGCTCTGGTCCATGGGGTCATGAAGAGGCGGACACAACTAAATGACTAAACAACAACAACAACATCTGCGATGCATGCATCTCCAATCACAGACTTGCTTGAGCTTGGCCATCGTTTTTCCAATGGGGTAAGCATATGCTTTTCCTTCTGGGTTTATAATTTTATCTTTCAGCAGGGGCGTAGCAATGGGGGTGCGAGGGGTGCGGGCCACACTGGGTGTCAGACTAAAGAGGGGTACCATTTGGCACAGCCCCCCCCGCAACTCCCCCAAACCCAGCAAGTGGCAAAGCAGCAAAGCAGCTGCTGCTGCTCTCCCTTCCCCTGACTCACTGTAGACTTGGGAGGGGCACTGAATGCCACCCTCCTTCAGCCTGAAGGGGGGGTCACATCACCTCCCCACCCACCCATGACTCCCCCAAACCCATGTATCTGTATTTTGGGGGTGTAGGAGGGTGTGGAGGGTGTGATTTGGGGTGTGTAACTGGATAGGAGGGTGTGATTTGGGGTGTGTAACTGAGGGGAGGGGCTTTCTGGGTGGGCAGTAGGTCACCTGTGTGTGACCTGTGGGTGTGTTCAGGGGAGACGGCTTCAAGGAGAGGGACGCAGGCTTGAGGATGGGTGGGGGTCGCAGCGCTGATTGGTGCCAGCAATGGGGCTTCCTGTCCCATTTACTTCCTTTTCCTGGCCTGTTCTTAAATATACTCAGAGTCCTGTAGTGATTTCTGGCTCTTTATTGCAGCTTGTAAAACAGTGATTGAATTGTTCCCCAAACCTCAGGCTTTTATATACATTATTTACACAATGAGTCCCGCCTGATTGGCTGATTCTGCTTCCCTCCTGGAGCCTGATTGGTCTTTTCCTGCAGGCCAATCAGTTGTTGCATTCTAGGATCCTACCAGCCTAATAGGCTGATTAACTTCCTCCTGGAGCCTGATTGGTCTTTTCCTGCAAGCCAATTAGTTGTTGCATTCTAGGATCCTACTTGCCTATTGTTCTAGGATCCAAGCTTAGTACATAACATGTTCCTTCCCAATGGGGCGCCGATTGCAGCGCACCCCAGGTGCACGGCATGTTCAGGCAGGCATGCATGCGTGCATGCAGCTATCCGAAGGAGGGAGGGAGGGAGGGAGGGGGAGAAGGCAGGATCTACATCTACAAAAAAGCCTGTGCTGCTTTTTTGACAAGGGGGGGAGGGGAATTTCAGTGGGGGAGGGGGATTTCACACCGGGTACCACCTGACCTTGGTACGCCACTGGTCCCAACTGTGAGTCTACCCCAAAACTTTTGCAAGCACAAACAGCATTGATAGTGGAATGGAGTGTGACCACCCTGATAACATCATGAAGGGACGCGGGTGGCGCTGTGCTCTAAACCACAGAGCCTAGGACTTGCCGATCAGAAGGTCGGCGGTTCAAATCCCCGCAACGGGGTGAGCTCCCGTTGCTCGGTACCTGCTCCTGCCAACCTAGCAGTTTGAAAGCACGTCAAAGTGCAAGTAGATAAAGAGGTACCGCTCCAGTGGGAAAGTAAGTGGCGTTTCTGTGCGCTGCTCTGCTTCACCAGAAGCGACTT